ATTTTCATGAGAGACCATGGAACTTGGGATATCCACTTCCCTAGAAGACACGGACGTCCTCCCTCTCTCCCTCTCTGTATCTAACACCTCCCCTCCCTTATAGTTTGCAAACTTGTCAAAAATATCTTTCCCTCTATGTATCTAACGCCTCCCACTCCCTCATATTTTGCAAACTTAAGTATTTCTTCCCCTTTGTATCAACTGCATACACTCCCTCATATTTTGTAAATTTGGAAAAAAAAAAAAAAATTCACAGGTCCATCCTTCCAAGTAATAACAATTTATTTTTTGATGATTCCGTTATAATGGTTGAATTGTTGGGTGAGTGTGGCCATTAAATGCCTTATTAGTGCTTTAATAAAACATTTGATATAATGAAACAAAAACACAGTGGGAGTGTGGTCCATCGTGGACCATACTAAGCAAATAACATTTGCTGATGCCAAACTATGCTTGACAGTCTAGGCCAGTTGGTTGAAAAAAACCGATATTACCTAGTTATAGAAAACTATCTGATAAGGGTTCTAATAGGTCTTACCGTAATGATGTCGGAGTATGCCCGGATGAGTGAGCCGAGGGAATGTTGTGTGATGGTGACCTTTAGAGACGGGGGTCCCTCATCTATGTACCATCATATAACATACATAATGATAGCCATTTCGAGAATGCGAATCACCTTTTAGGGTGAAGATTATGCATGTACGAGAGATACCCTATGTGTCATAGGAGTAGCGGTCGCATCACGTTTAGGTGACATTGGCACATCTCTAGAGGAGAACCTGAAATCCACAAAGTGATATTACGACCTCTTGGCTCATCAACTAGACTTTAGTGACTCACTAATGAGCCCATGTATATACTATGGATCATGAGAAACACTAGGTTGGTTGATGAAAATGTGGACCGGAGTCCACGGTTGAAGGTGGAATACCCCAAAATGTTTATTCCTAGACCATATGGATCCTTATCCCATCTAATAAATTTAATTGTGTTTGTTTCTATGATGACATGATTTTATAATTATGATTTGAATTTTTTAGATATCTGGATATTTTATTTATAAAATTTGGATTTATAAAAATAGAGATATTGATTATTAATATTTTAAATATTCAAATTAATTTTAAAATATTTTATTGATATTTAAATTATTTAAAATAGCATTGGTTGTACATTGTGCACATCGGGCCACCATGCCTAAATTGGTGGGGCCAACAAAACCACCTCCTCGATGGCACGCCCCAGTTTTAGGGGCTTCCTATTCTCATGGGTGGCACACCCTTCTTTTAAGGGTTTTCCTATTTTATAGGGTTAAATTGATAAAGAGTAATAACTTTGACTCAGAGGCCAAGTAATTCTTGAGGAAGATTTGAATGAATTTGTAAAGTTTGATAAGGGTTATGCATATTTTGGATAAAGCTCAATACTATGATTAATATTATCTTATTTAATTTTTAAATATTATGGTTAATATTATCTTATTTATTTTCTATTGATGGGATAATGATCAAAAGAAAAAGGGAATAAGGGTTTTAGGACCTTCCATAGCATGTTGATGGCCCATTTATGGAATGGATGGTTCAAATCTCTCACCCGACAAATCACCCATGATGAACGGTTCATATTCAATCCACAAGAAGAGGCAAGCCATACAAATCCTAAGAAACCCTTATGCTATTTTTTGGATCAACGGTTCATATGCAATCCACAAGTTCTTATGCTATTTTTTGGATCAACGGTTCATATGCAATCCACAAGTTCTTATGCTATTTTTTGGATCAACGGTTCATATTCAATCCACAAGACGAGGCATGCCATACAAATCCTAAGAAACCCTTATGCTATTTTTTGGATCAATGGTTCATATTCAATCCACAAGAAGAGGCATGCCATACAAATCCTAAGAAACCCTTATGCTCTTTTTTGAACTATAAAAAGAAGACCCCTTGCCCATAATTCTCTACCCACCAATTTCTCCAATAAGGGCACGCCCCAACCGTAGAAGTCTCTCTCTGGACCATACAAAGGGGGGTACGCCCCACCTTTTGGACTATGTCTCTCTCTAGGTTTATCTAAGGGTCACGCCCCACCTTTTGGACTATGTCTCTCTCTAGGTTTATCTAAGGGTCACGCCCCACCTAGATGGTGTTCTATCTCCCTAACCTAAGGGTTGACCTAGATGGTGTTTTATCTCCCTCTAACCTAAGGGTTGACCTAGACAGTGTTCAATCTCCCTCTCATCTTGCTTTGATGAGCCTAAGGGTTGGGTAGTAGCAAGTAGATGCTATCTTGATTGAACTAGGGTGTTCTATCTCTCTCTAACCTAAAGGTTGACCTAGATGGTGTTCTATCTCCCTCTCATCTTGCATTGATGAGCTTAAGGGTTGGGTAGTACGAAGTAGATGCTATCTTGATTGAACTAGGTTTTACAGCTTTGTACCTAAGTTCGAATTTTGTGATCAAGAGGAGTTAATGGTTCCATTAGAGGGTTAGCCTTGAAATTTGCTTTCCCATTGAGATTGAAAGTTGATCATTGATCTCAAGCCATCGGATGGTGATAACTCAGTGTGGGGGTGTAACTAGCCCGGTTGAGATAATCCCCGGCATTCTTTTTTTTATTTCTTGCCTTTTCAATTATATTGTCTTTACTTTCCCAAGCATGAGAAGTAGTGGTTACTTTGTTTGTTTAGCATGAGAAGTAGTGGTTACTTTGTTTGTTTAGCATGAGAAGTAGTGGTTACTTTGTTTGTTTAAAGAGAATTAGTTTAATGGCATCAATGTTTTAAGATCTTGGATTTGTTGGTTTTACTTTTATTTTTTTTTGAAGCAAAAATTATTGTAGCAAGACCACTTGCGAGTAATCTTTGCCAAAAAACAAAAAAAGGTTGAAAAGAATAAAATATATATATATTCCCTGGCAAGATCATGTTGGTCTTCCTTTCAAAAATTACCCGGTCCGTATGTGAATTTCCCTAGAGATTTTCACCAATGAACTAAATATAATCTCCATGAAACTCACTAATCTGGTCTTGTTTGAAAAGTAAGGAATTAACGGCGCCTTTTTTTTTTCTTTCATGAAACCCCTTTAGACCAGGATTGACTATCGCAGTTAAGAAGAACTATTATGCCTTTGAATCATATTACCTTCTTCCCTTGTAAGGGGTCAAGGAGATGAAGTTGGACATGCATTTACATTCTTCAGATATGATATCTGATATTGCCATAGCATTCCTATTTTCAGTGGCAGTATATAGTTTCATAACTATATCTAATGCGATGGGCTCATCCTCACTTCCTCCTATGCTCCTTGGATCTAGTGCACATAACTTAAAACTGTCACTTTTTGGAGAGATATTCCCCTGCCTTGAATGTAGCTTTGTGATGGTTTGAGAAAGGCCAAAGGAAAATGGAGGCTTAGCTTGGAGGAAGGCACCAAACTTTGAGCAGATAAGCCATAGCTTCTTCTTGAGATGGCTGGTGTGGTTGCATTTGGTGGGTATGCTAACTTTGGCAAGGAGTTTGGTGGGAAGTGTGGCTTGACAAGAAGAAAGCCATATCCATAATCTAGTAGGTATTGAGTGGGCTCAAAAGGCTAGTGGGGAAGATGAAGTTTTGGGTTTGAGAAAAAAGGACAAGAGGCCAAGATAAGACTGAAGCAACCAAAAGGAAAAGAGGGCAAAACAAAGCAACCCTTTGATGGTCTGACAAGTCAGGTATCTTCAAAAAGGACAACTGGTTACATCATTTGTACCACACATGGGCAGATTCCCTTCTGTGATACCAATGAGGCGGAATTGAGGGCAGTTAAAGGAGTATTAAAACTCAAGGAAGAACAACACCGCATTATCATAAAGGGAGATTCAACGAATGTCATAAGGTGGTGTGAAACCCCTCACCTCCTCCCATGAAAATTGACCCCCCATCATGGATGAAATAATGTTCAATCTTCAGGCGAGGGATGGCATCTTCAATCATATTAACTGGAAGAGCACTTTTTTTGGATAGAGCCCTTAAACTTCGCTCATCATAAGGGTATTTATGGTTATTGTGAAAATCACTATTTTGGTGGACTCTTTATGACTAGCTGTTTTTAAGGGAAGCTCTTGAGAGAACAAAAAGAAAGTTTTGGGGAACCTATTGATTGGGTATTTTGCACAAACCGTAGTTTCATGTGTGTCTTGTATTGAGCCAGATTTCATCTTTGTGGTGACATAGTTGGTCGAAGGTAGCAACCAACGTAGTCAATTGATGGTTTATCTGTGGTATAGAAAATTTATTTTGAGATTTTCTCTAACATTGTAAGGTAATTTCTACATACCCACAAAACTTGTAATTCTTCTATTAATATTGAATCTTTCCTTGCATGTTGCCTATGGATGTAGCCCGATTTTGGGTGAATCGCGTATATTTGTGTGTTGATGGTGATTGGATTATGATTTGCAGTGTATTGTTATCTTTGCAAGATTTTCTATTTATGCATCTCTTGTTTTCCTTTCTATTTTTCTAAATTTATTACAGTCAGTTCTCATTTTTTGGTGAATCGTGTATATTTGTATGTTGATGGTGATTGGATTATAATTTGTAATGTATTGTTATCGTTGTAAGATTTTCTATTTATGCATCTCTTAGTTTCTTCTCTATTTTTGCTAAATTTACTACATCATATTTGGTTCATACGTGTATGGATTTTTTGGAATCGATTTATCGATGATAGGCAAGTTGGTTTCAAAATATTAGATTTGTTATGATGGGGGTTTCACAGCAACCAGGGGTGGTCGAGCTAATCTCGATTCCCAATACTCCCGGATTGAATTTACTGGAGGAAAACGAGTCAACGACTGGTGTATTGGGGAGTCGATCCTTCGTTAAAATTACTCTTGCTGTCAATTAGATAGGGCTCATAACAAAGTGAAAAGGAAAAAACCAACATCCTATATAAAATACATTTTGTTGATGCAACAAATCCTTATTGATGCACATATGAAAATACACTTTGTAGATACGACAAATCCATATTAATGCACAGATATAATAGCAGATAAAGTTGAATCACAAATGGCTTGACATTGAGGCTTAAGAAGAGATGCATGATCATTCAGGCTTTTTGGTATCATGGAATGGCAATCTATCTAGAATTGGTGCCATAAACTTTATCAACCTCTGCAAAAGCAATAAGCATCGAGTTATTATTATTGACATGAATATGAATGTATTTGCCAACTTTTGGCACTCGAGCAGTAACTAAATATTAATAATAAAAGTCATAAACTGAACACTAATCATAAAAACGTATATTAAGAAAGAATTAATATCTATATGAGTGTTTTCTAAAATAAAAAGAATTTTTGTCTTCTAAACATCTAGATCTCACCATCCAAAAATTGGAGGGGCTTAATCCTATAGCATATTTATATTTGAGGCATCTTTAGGGCATGTTTGATTTCTGAAAAACACGGTTTTGGAAACCGTCTACAAGTACTGTAACACTTTCCTATTTGATAACGAGGAAGTTTTATCATAAAGTGGATGCCTTGGTATCCACTTGCCTTATATTTAAGGCTAAAAAGTGGATACCGCCAGTTCCATGGGGATTCATGGAACTTGAGATATATCCACTTCCCTAGAAAACACTGATGCCAAATGCCCTTTTTCAGTAAATCAAAGACACCCTTAGCGTGGGTATTGAATGTTTTCCCTTTTTTTCTTTGTAGAAATCTTTTTATTATGCATGTGAATGGAGAATAACCTCTCCAAGAACTTCTTATTTATGTTTGAAAAAAGAGCATCAAAAGTTTATGTAAGAAATTATGTATGCGTGCAAAAAAGTTCCGAGTGTATCTCTACTTTCTCCAAAGAATTTCTTTCTTTTCCGTCCACATCACTTGAAAAGGAATTTTACAATAGAAATATCAGTTATAATTCTTACGTACCAGTCGAAGGAGATCGGATTTGAGGAGTGGTTCCATTGACATTTGCATATTGCTGGTCATTTATAAAAAATCAGTTCTATGCTGTGTATGAATATAATAAATTCTCAATGGAATTGTTCAAAGAAAATCTCGTAGTGTTTTACAAATTGAGATTTAGTTGCAGTGAACACCTTATTAGCACTCTGCCTTCATACTTTTGGATTGTATAGATTGCATAACCCTTTCCTAGAGGCATGGGATAGCCCTTCCACTCTACAAGCTTGAGGGTGTGAGAATCAAAAAATTTCACAGAAAACTAAGGAATAAAATGATAGATCCAAAAGAGAGGAAATTTACGTAAGTTCCATTGAACTCCAACTACAAGTCCTTCATGAAATGTTGGCTCAATTATGAAGTGCATGGACTTCCCCATTGTTCCCATTAAGGTAGATAAGAATTGTACAACTTGCTGCAAAATTATAATCACTAGTTATTTCTAAACTGGCTGCAAAATTATAATCACTACTCAGTTCTAAAATGACAGATCTGTAGCATTTACTTACCTGACTTTTCATCTCCACTAGACTAAAACATGATACAAGCAGCAAAATCAGATTTTCACCAATCAGATATAATTTCAATGAAACTCACTAATCTGATCTTGTTTGAAAAGTAAGGAATTAATGCCGCTTTTTTTTTTTTCGGAAAACCCCTTGTAGACCTGGATTGACTGTGGCAGTTATATTCTGAAGAACTTATGCCATTGCTATGCCAAAGATTTGAACTATTGAATCAAGTTACCTTCTTCCCTTGTAAAGGGCTCAAGGAGATGAAATTGCACATGCATTTACATTCTTCAGCTATGATATCTGATACTCCCTTAGAATTCCTATTTTTAAGGGCAGTATATAGTTTCATAACTGTATCTAATGCTTTGGGTTCATCCTCACTTCCTCCTATGCTCCTTCGATCTTGTGCATATAACTTAAAACTGTCATTTTTAGGGGAGATATTCCCTTGCCTTGAATACAGCTTTGGGGTGGTTTGAGAAAGACCAAAGGAAACATGGGGGCTGGGCTTGGAGGAAGGCACCAAAGTTAGAGCAGATAAGCCATTGCTTCTTCTTGAGATGGCTGGTGTTGTTGCATTTGGTAGGTATGCTGAATTTGGCAAGGAGTTTGGGGAACTGTGGCTTGACAAGAACAAAGCCATATCCATGATCTAATGGGTATTGTGTGAGTGGGTTCAAATGGCTTGTAGGGAAGATGAAGTGTTGGGTTTGAGACAAGAGGATAAGTGGTCAAGCTAAGAATGAAGCAACCAAAAGGGAGAGGGAGCAAAACAAAGCAACCCCTTGATTGTATGACAAGTCAGGTATCTTCAAAAGGGAAAACTGGTTACACCATTATGTATTATACAAATAAGGAGGAACTATGGCAGAAAATATTTGCAACTTCTCTTTTCATTTTTTTTGTCGGATTAATAAATGCAGTTTCTTGTTATTAATAATTGTGTACAAGTATGCCATGATGCCCTTTTCACTAGTGTTTCAAAAACCACATTGGTCTAGATCGGCAAACCGGTGATCCGAGTTACTGAATCAGACCGATTATCCTGCACAAGAATAGGTACCCAAAAAAAAAGGTTTTAATTTTGGAATAAAATAAAAAATAAAAAAAATTTAAAATTAAAATGGGTGGAGATTACACGATTGGGATCATCCAGCTGCCTAACAAACTCACCAGGTTCTCTAATGAAGTCGGGTGACTCTATGAGACTAATTCCCAATTCCAATTAAGAACTAGTGAATTTCTATTACCGATTTCTGATCCAAGTCAACAGTTCCCTATCCTAACTGGCAAATTTTAAAACATTGCCCTTTAACCATTGGTTGCGTGATAAATAGTTCAAGGTATGCATAACCCAATAAAAAATCATATTATGAAAGCTATATGAGTTTTATATTTCACCCATGGCCATGGCCTGTATAATTGTTTTCTTTTGCTATCGGAAACCCCACTATGACCATGACCTGTACTATTTTTCTCTGTCGCCGCTTTGCGTGGGGGATATTCGAAAATCTTCCATTCAAAAGTTCGACTATAAAATATTCGTTATTTGTATTGTATACATATAAGCGTACGTATATGCATATATATTAAAAGGAAAAATGTTCATGCGGGATGGACCGCATTTCTACATATGCCGTCCAGAACGTGTAATGCATACATTTTAAAGATGGACACAAGTAGGTGTTTCTATAGTTATCACGCGAGCCCAACTAGGGTGGCGCTCCCTCTTCGGAGCACAGCTCCATAGCCGGGATCTCGATCGGAACTCAATCTCTACTTTTTGGGAGCTCGTTCCTATTTTTAGGATTCTTAAGAACATTCATAACGGAGATCGCTCCTGATACTGCACGGAATGTGTTCCTTAAATTTTAGGATATTGTTCTTGAATAAATTAATCCCCGCTCCTAGAGTTTTAGGAGCGTGATCCCTACATTTCTCCATCCCTATTGTCCCGAAACATCCTAAAAGAAATTTCTTAAATCAAATTAATTTTAGAAATAAATTAATTATATTTTAAGCCAAATTTTCATAAAAGTAGAGTTCTGCGATGGGAGCGTGGACTAATCATGCACAGAACATGATCTTTCCTTGAATGAAGCTCGATTCTTTCTAAATAGGAACACGGTCATTCTTAGATGGGGGCGCAATCTTGTTGTCGATGGGAGCACAATCCTAATAAATATGGGAACACGATCCCATTTGACATGGAAAGTGTTCCCGCTAAATAAGGATCTCGATCCCGATGTATTGGGAATGCACTCCCTGTTCATACGGGATCTCAATCCGCTACTTTTATCCTCACCGGAACTTGCCCCCTGAGCTTCGGAGCTTTAGGCAGACATCGCTTCGACGCTCCCGCTCCCGGAACTGGAGCCGCTCTCACTCCCGGAACCGTAGCCGCTCCTGCTCTTGCTCTCGGTAACTATGGGTGTTCCATGTAAACACAATAAAAACTAATGGTCCAAATGTTTTCTTACTAGAATTGTTATTTCTAGTTTTTAAAATTTATTTTTCATATTGATGATCTCCATGTTAGAGGTTACATGTTCTTAAAAATTGAGTCATAAAATCCTTCTCAAAAATAGATATATTAAGAGGCCCGCATTGCTACATATGCGGGCTTGGGCACACAGAAACCGGTCCATATCTGCATTTAAATATTCTACAATTCATATGTCAAAACAATAGTGAAGCATTACAAAAATAAATTAAATTAATAAACTAAAGGTTTTTACTTTTTGAATCTGAATGTTATTCGTTACATTTTTTTTATAATCCAATCCAATGTAGCCTCATAACAACATACAAAAAAAAGCTAAAAACTATTTAGGTTGATTATTAATTTAAAATAAATATGTTCTTATTCTAAGCTGTTTGTTATTTTGGAAAACTAAACTATGGGCCTTCTCAAAATTAGCTTATGTAAATATAGCCAATTTTCATATGTAAACACTTACGATTTTTTAAAATTGACTTTTGTAAATTAAGTGTTTCAAAATTGACTTAATGTGTAAACATGGATAATTGTCCGTTTAAAAAGTGAAAATGGGCTGCAGTTTTCTATATTTGCAAAATAGTAAAAAAATGTTTATTGAAGAATGGACTTCCAAAATATTTTTATTTTTAGAATAAAGTATTATTCATTGAGGAATGGTGTTTCTAAATAGAAAACGCCACATTCTAAAAATGAAATGTATCCAAAAAGAGAGACACTCTATTGGATGCTTAATGAGTATGTTGTATTCATTTCTAGAAGTGTTAATATAGTATCGCCCAAGTATTGACACATGGTAAGACCCTTAGACATGTATCTATTTTCCTAAGAAAGTGATAGAATCTCCTTAAATTTGATTTTTAATTACATAGTGTAAAAATCACTTCTATTATTGCTCTAAAAAATCAAGTAGAATACATCTTAGGACCATTTACATCCAAATTTTGAGATTAGGTTTTCCTAATATTATATGGTGTATGGTAGAAAAACACACACTTGTCCACACACACATAAAAACACACAAAAACATACATATATGTGGATTACTCTAAGCTAAAATAACTATAATGGTAAACTCAGAATTTCATACCCTCGAATTTTTTTTCTCTGTAACTCTAATCATGTTTAAAATGACTTTTGATTATAAATTATTCATATATTTTAGAAAGGGTATTTTTGTTATTTCAAATTCTTTCCAAAAAAACTCCTTCAAAAATCAAAAAGATTTATTTGACTTTTTGAATATGTTTAAATTGAAGCAATTTAAAAATACAAGTATGCCCTTTTCTAAAGTTTTTAAATAAGTTATTGTTAGTGTAAATTTTAGATTTTTAAGGTTATTTTGTTGTCCCCAAAAAAATAAATTTAAATTTTAAAAAGATTATTTTTAATTTATGAATCATCTTTAAAATTTTATAGCATCTTGAATTACAAGAATACCCCTCATCAGATTTTGTAGCTTTAATACACAATTTAATGAGGATTCTTTTTTACACAGTGTTAGCTTCAATCGAAAATAAGTATTGCATCATCGCGCATAGTATTTGTATACACCGGATATTTTCATAACTGTTTATTAGTTTAATGCATGATATTGTTAGCGTTTTCTATTTAATTTTTGTACGTGTTATGAACGATTAAAAATGGTTATTTGATCATTTAACCCGTGATTTGACTAGGTTTAGATTTTCATGATCATTTTTTTCACAAAATGTTTCAAATAGATGCTATATCTAGATGGATTTAGATAACCATAATGCTAAAGCTAGATGTTATTTGCTATACAACAGCTAGACAATGCATTTTTTTTCATTGTTCTGGATATTGTATTTGTGACAAATATGTATTTAGTATTTACAACATGGAAAATGCTGATTTTTCAAGTTGAGCATAGATTTTTTCAATTTATGTTTTCTTTAATCATTATTAGCATTTCATACTTATTCTTGATTTGTATGAATTATTCATGATTTATCAAGAAATATGTAAGAGGCACAACTCCTATAATAACTGTATTAAAGGTAGAGATTGTTGAGAAACTTGAGGGCAGAAATGGATCCACTCCTAGGATTAGGGGTAGTGTCTTGAGACTATCGATCGCAAAGATCAGGCTTTTACTAGAACTGTGAGACTCTGTAAATTTTTGTGTACCTCTCCATGGCAATGAAACTCTTCTTAAAGGGAGATGGAGGAGGTCGTTCTCCAACGTTCGGCTTCCTCTTGAAATCTCTGAAAAAACGTGGCATGTAATCCTGGGAAGTGGGTGGTTACTTTCTAGCCGTTAGATAACAGTTCTTTCTCCGTTTAAGAAGCCTCCCCTTTTTAATGATAAGCATTAAATTATAAGAGAGAGAAATATTGCACGTTTAAAGATCTCATGACCACGCACACGTACCAACATCTCCCACCATAAGAGCCAGATATATTGAAATATCATAAAGTCTTTACCACTTAATGAATTTAACATTTATGTGTATATTTTTGTTATGAGGAGTTCACGCAAGTGCGGTTATACATCTCATAACAAAAAATATCCAAAGTCATGTCATAGTTTTTCACGTTAATGACGTTTTTCCTCTCATGACCAAGACATCAAAAAACTATCCCATTTGGGAGTTCCTTACTTAAATATTTCTAAGTCCCATCAAAGCTACATGTTTTGATAATATTTCTGCACTCAATCCCTTTGTTAAAGGGTCTGCAGTTATATATGAAGATGGCGAATAACTTACAGTTATTTCATTCTTTCCAATAATATCAGAAATATAATGATAATCAATTTCAATGTGCTTACCCTTGGAACTATTGCTCCATTTCTAATTGATGAAATAACAGCTTGATTATCACAAAATTTTTTAACAAGTCTGTAAGCTATATACAACTTTAAATCATTTATGAAACGTTTAATCCATATGGCATAAGTTACAGCAATGTTACAAGCAATATACTCGGCTTCCATAGTATACCGAGCTACACAACCTTGTTTTTTACTACACCAAGAAACACATCCATCTCCAAAGAGGAATACAATTCTTGAGGTTGATTTTCTATCGTCTGGGCCTCTTGCAAAATCTGCATCAGAGTACCCAGTAACTTCTAAGTTGTCAGCTTGGAAGCACAACTTATAATTTTTAGTTTTCTGAATATATCTGAGTGTCCGTTTTAGTACTTGTCAATGAGCCATCCCAGGATTACTCTGAAATCTACTTACAATACCATATGTAT